TTATAAAAATAAAACACATACTAAATTTTAATAAAAATAATTTATATTAAATATATATATGATAAAAATCTAATTTATAATAAAAATATCTTAAATAAAAATTAATTAGCTTTATAATAATTATTATTCTTTATTAAATATTATCATTATGTAAGAAAAATATTATTATTATAAATAGATATTAAACTTTTATCTAATTAATTTTTTGCTTTAATATATTAATAAATAGCTAAATAATATATAACATATTATAATAGTAAGAATATGTTAAAATATATGATATTATTTTTATTTTAATATAAAAATAAAAAATATTTATTAATAAAATTGAAAACTTTTATATAAAAAAAAAAACTCATATTTTATTATATTTAATTAATAAATTTTAATATTATTATATTATTTTTGATTGTCACTATATATTAATTAAAAAATTATTAATATTAAATAGAATAAATTTTAGTAAATTATTAAAAAAATCTAATAATTTACAATTTTAAATTATTATATAATATTAATAAAATTATTACTTTATAAATAGATTTTTAATAATATATAAAATTTTTTTTAATAGTATATAAATTACAAATTAATTTATTTTGCAATTAGAAATTTTTCTTTAAATCAAACACAAAAAATTTATAATAAAATATAAATTATAATTATTATTAATAAATTTAAAATTTTTTAATAAAAATAAAATCTTTAATTTTATTATATTTTAATAATAAATTTTAAGTTATTATATATAAAAATTAAAAATAATATTATTATTATTAAATACAATCAAATTTCTTTATTATTATTATTTTTAGGAAACTAAAATTGAAAAATGCAATTATAAAAAATATTTTTTACTTAATACTTGAAAATAATTATAAAGTAATATAATTATAAAAAAATTGAACTGTACTTTTGTTTATTAATATTGTTATTATTATATACTTTTTATATTTATTAAATATTATGATTTTTCATTTTTTTATTATCAAGTTATACTTTCTTATTTTTAAATTAATTCAATTCTTAATCTATATAAATTGAATATAATTACTATTTATTTATTATAATAGTAACAATATCAAATTATAATTAAATCTTACTAAATAATATTCAAATTTCATGAAACACATGATAATTTGCATTACAATATTTACAGGTCCCTGATTGTCGGAATCACATGATCCGACTCTTTCTTGGTGCAGCAAGGGGGTATTCGATAAATTTACACTTAGCTATTTGGTGTTACAGTCAAACTCGACATAATGAAATGGCTGAATAATGAATTACAATTCTCGACAATTAATTAAAAAAAGGATCTGTTTCATATTAAGTTACAGAAATTTCGATGACGATTCCTACTAATTATGCACATATTTCTCGATGCACATTTTTCGTTCCACGTTTTTCCAATTCATTTATTTCCTCGTTGCTCGAATCTTCCATTCAATCCCATCTATGAAATTCAAGCATGTAAATTAAAGAAATGACCAATTGTCCCTTGAAATCTAAAATACGCCTATTAATCAGCCAGCTAGCATCATACATCGAGTCGACATGTAACATAAAATATTCTTTACACGTATCTTTTTTTTCCGGACACACATGTAAGTGCCACAAACATGAAACGAAATGTGCCTTGTATAACTGTATCATGTTTTTCTCGCAAGAATCAAATATGCAGTTATACAGAAACGCGAAAACCTCCTCTCTTTCTCTTAAAGTAATAGCAAAGAAACCTTTTAATTCATCATGTTCATATCTCATTAATTAGATAAGTGAACTTCTCACTCAGTTTTGGTTCTTTGTCATATATTTTTTTCTTTGAGATAAGAAAAATGTTTATCACGCATTTTTTTCATTACGTCTCTTTTAGAATGATTAGCTGTTTTATGTTGATTCGATTTTTTTATTTACCGGAAAAATATTAATGTATAACACTATTACATTTATATTTACAATTACAATTACAATCAATATATTCATCAAAACGCATTACTTTTCATTGCATATTATCACGAAATGAAGAACGCGGCAAGGAAAAACCTACACATGACAATCTAACAAAAAACAAACATTCTTGCATGCAATGTTCGTATGACGCCATATTATTATAGATAAATAGAAGTTTAACCGTATTGTGATGTTTACTGGCGAGTTATCATATTGAATGGCAATTTACAAATTCTTTTTTCGAGGAAAAAAATTATGTACCGTATAGCGGCAACGCCACAAAGTACCCTCCTCTGTAATAAAAATTTTCGAAGAAATTACACTGTGAATCTCGAATTATTCATTTCGAAAAGAATAATTGGTTTTACTAAAAAGAAATTAAGGTTTAAATGTTCTAAATGGAGGAGTGCTATACGGTAGATTCTTCATATAGGTGATAGTATGATAAAAAAGTTACAATTAATCTATTTATGACAAAAAAGTCAAATTCAATCACCTCCATATTTATGTTGGGCTGCGTTATGTTTAAGCATTCATCGGTTGATCTTATTCAGATTATGCACGTTTTCTTTTATTTTTATTTATCAGGTTTAAGGGTGAATAAATTTAATAAGGAGTGAACAACAGAATAGATGAATATGTGGCAATATTATTTTTTGAAATACCAATCAAATTTCATAATTGTCGAGGCGTTTTTCGAATAAGTCGATTAAGCGTTTGTGCATTGTTCTGTCCAACAAAAATTATACATTTACTTGCGCTTGCCGCCATTTCATTGTACTGTGTAAAGCTGATGTGGATCAAGATTCAAAAGGATACAACAATATCAAACAGAATGTTTGTAGTTTTTCCCCCAAGAAATACATTTAGAGAAAATCTTTTAGTCCGAGCGCAAAGTTCAAGAATAGGATCGGGGTCGAAACTGCATGTATTACAATGTATACAATGCACATCAATATGCATCAATTGTTTTTGTTTTATGCAGGGACCTTAGAAAATATGGTAAATTAATTAATTAGTACAAAGATCCTGTCAAATGATACAATCAAACCTCAATAAGCCGAAGTACTAATTGAGGTTTGACTAGCCAAAATAAAAGACGAAAAAGAAGAAAATCGAAGGCGATTACTTGAATCTATCTATTGATACAGAGTACAAGTTTACTATTATTTATTAAAGGAAAATTCGTGTAAATGTCAAACAAGAATCAACCAGAAATAGTCCAAATTGTTCTTACATTTATTGCACAACATCATTACAAGTTCATTTCTAACTTCAATAATCAATGTAATACAAATTAAAAATTTCCAAATTATAATTTCCTAGAAAAGACTCGTGTCTAGCACTTTTGTAATGTTATTTATGGTAACCGTTAATTTTCTGCTGGAGTCTGATATCAACCAATAATAAATTTATTACTTGATATTAAGCACGAATCTTCAAGATAAATTCTCACAATTGCCATTGTTATAATCAAAGACATGCAATACATACTAGTATCGCGCATGTCTTTATTTGAATATTCTCTCCTTATCAAAATACCATTTATGGAACTAATTCTTTTATGGAGAAAATGAAGATCCGAGATTTTATTGGACGATAATGTCCACCATATATTTTCCAAAAGTGGATTGTTTGTTAATACAGATTTGTTTTTTATCGTTTCTAAACACGTTTTCCGAAGTTCCCCACATATGTCATACAAGTTATCATTCTGGAATATGTACAATTTTATTAACATTAATTTAGCTAAATGTTTATTATTACATTGAACAATGTACAATGTATATATGTAACAGAATTTACAGAAGAATTTTTTATTACTATTATGATAAAAAATGCGTACTTGACAATGAAGATTGATTTGTTTGCAAAAGACAAATAAAGAATTTGGCAATGTCATTGAGTGTTCTCTTACGGTTGTATAATGAAGATCATGAAAGAGTGTATGCATGTGCATTAAAGAAAAATCTATACGGTTTCATGTAATGTAATAATAATATAATCCATTAATGACATAATAAAATATATTTCCAATAAAAATTCGTAGAAACTTGATTTTTTGTCTTGGCTATGTATGTAGGAGATAAATAGTTAGAGGTATAAGATGATGAAAGGAGAAAAACATATAAAACATATTGATATAGATTTAAGTATATATAATAATATAATAATATATAGATATATAGATAGATGTTTAACTCTAAGTTTATTGTGAAACCGCAAGTCTTAAACAGGCCACTAAATACACACACACGCGCGCGCGCGCGCGCGCGTAATAATAGCAATTCAAAAGAAGAGAGTTGGACTCTTTATTAATTCTCATTGTGTTCTATTAACTATTTTTGGGGTAGATAATAAAATAGTAATAGAAGTAATGTTCGATTTATTTGTCTTTAGCTTAATATGTAGCGGTGTTAAAGGTTGATTGTTTAAGTATAAGGAGTGATAATGGTTTTTCCATAAAAAGAAAAATGCGGAATGAAGTTGTATGTGTAGATAAGGAGAGGAGTAATCGTGATTAAAAGAGTGAAGAAAAATAATAACTTTTTGTTTTCCGATGATGAACATCGGACTTGAAGTAGAAAAATCCTGCTTTTCAAAAGAAAATTTTTGTCTACAAAGACTAGAAAGAAAAAAGAGAGCGCGAAAAAACGTCCCAACGCGCTGAGATCACGAAAAAGCACTGCTCTTTATAAACGGTCCGGCCGATGTGACCAAATATATTATTGTAAAAAAGGGGATGAGCGTGAACAAGAAAAGGTTATAAAAATACAAAAAACAGTCTATAAGAAAAATACAAGTTTTTTTTGGATCAAAAAGGATGGAGGGTGTGGTTTAGCAACCATCGACTCCAAAATTAGGGAAATAAAGGGTTTTTTTCACAAGATAAATGCTATACAATATAAAAATATTCCAGATAAAATATTCCAGAAAATAACCGCAAATAATATAGTAATAGCAGTAAAGTAATAATATAATACTCTATTAAAATATAATACAAAGGGGAAAAAAGATACAAATCAAAGCTGGGGCTAACATTTAAATTACGAGAGTAAAGGTGAACCAAAAACTTCTATTTTACAAACAAAATGTAAGCGACGATTGAAAATGTTTATGGTTTTAATTTGCATCTTTTTGTTTTTAAATTGATTCTCTATGACCTTGATGAGTGTCTGACGGTAGCTGCGATGAGTTTGCAAGTCGAGATATGTGTTGTCGTTATGAATATGATGATAGTATTCGATGTATTCTCGTGAATGTGTATATTTGTGCTCTTTCACCGCGTACTTGCCATTATACTGAGACGTCGACTTTGACGCGTAAACGCATTTGCTCTATTAAATGGAACCATTAACTGATTATGATAGAAACAATACAATTAATATCATATATAATGTAATGCTGTTCAATTGATCAATTATAAAACAAGATTTACCCCAAGACCATTTATTCTTCGCTTGAGGTTTTCCTCCTTTTTTGCACGTTCATTTCTTTCTTGAAGACTTCGGATTTCGTGATCCAATTCATCGTGGAGTTTACGCAATTGTTCGTGGTCTATTCGAATATCAAGTTCCTTCGCAGATTTCGGAGTAACTCGAAGTAGAGTCTATGAGACAAAATGTAAATTAAAATTTGGATGATGATAAAAAAAAAATAGATCACAAATTAAATTGAATGTACTGACCATGACTAATAAAGGATATTTGCATAATCGCTGAATTGGCTTTGCCAATAAGCTCTCTAACGATCGATATCTGCCAGTCATCACATGAGATTCAAGCGTTTTCACTAATTGACCAAGTTTATTACCCTTTTTTCGTGCATTTGCGAGTTCCGATATGGCAGTTTTATGATAAAGAAGATATTTATCGTATTTATTTATGTTTCCGACAAGGGCAACAAGTGCATCTGTTATTGATGGAACCACTCGGTAAATTGCCTGAGTATTCAGTAATTGCTAAATGGAAATTACAATAATCATTGATTAGATTAAATTCGATAAGATAAAAGACAGAGAAAAGAAAAATGCACAAACTTACTCTCGAGATGTTTCTATGCATATAATATATTTCCAGTAATACAGAAAATGTGTGCACTAAACTATTCGGTAGACGGATACGAGAGCCTTGGATTGCCGTTACATAATGCTGCAGGGATTATTTTAAAATGCATAAATGTAAGTCGGCACATACGCATACATACACACATGAAACACACACACACTTACATCTAGCAAATATTGAAGATCATCGACAAATTCTTTCTCGGTTCGAATTATCTCGAACATCACTTCTTGACGTCGAATTGTTTCTGAGTCCATTTTTTTCTTTGTGTCGGCATCAACTTGTTCCGTCCAAAGAGGAACAGTTGCATCCGGACTCGGTGGCGATGTAACTATTGCATTTGTTCCAACTAGTATGTTTGTTGAACTCGAATTACGACGAAATGCATTTTTAATTAATAGCATGCTATTACTCTGAGATTTACGGATTTTACTGTTAAACCTATTTGCCGTTGTTTGTATATGAAGATTTGGCTGCTGTAGTTGTTCTTCGACGTGATGTTGTCGCTGTTGATGTTGATGTGGCTGCAAGCTTTGAGCTGCTGATCGTTTTAGATTACTTTTACTACAACTAAATTCGTCGTTTGATGTTATTACAATATTGTTATCTGTTACTTGTGTGGTTGGTGATAATTTATATGTCGAAGCTGTTGATGCTGTTGGCTGTGGTCGTGCTCCTGACGATTTTGTTGTTGATGATGATGGTTTTGTTGGGACTGAAGGTTCAACAGCGGCAGAAACAGTAAACGCTGCTATAAGTTTGCTGAAACTCATCAGTGATTTTTTTTATTAAAAAGAAATGTGTTTTTTCAATCAAGAAAAATATCTATAGAAAAAATAGAATAAAAAAGAATTTTTAGAATAAAATTTTAAATTGGTTAGAATGAAAATTTTAGATAGGCCAGAAGGGAAAAGGCAGTTTGAAAAGTATCATACAGACAGGAGTTTTTATAACGATTTTATACGTGTGTGGTTATATATAACGTAATATAATATTACTTTTATGCAGGTACGTGCGTACAAACTTACAAAATGAACAAATAATCGAAATTTTTATAAATAGTGATATTCAAATATGTGTCCATACTTCATGGAGCCACCAAGACAGGGAACTTTTATTTTTTTATCTTTAGAGAATTAAATCAAACCTAAATGTGCATTTCATCAAGACGATCATCACCTTCTTTAGTCAGAATGCTTTGAAACAATGGTTTGTTTTGTGAATTTAGTATTTTTTTTTTTTTAGCTCAAAATATACGAACGAATTTGAGGAATATAGTGCCGATTTTTGCAGTGCATCACTGCTCTAATTGGCTGAAAAGTTTTTAGAAAAAATTCGGAAAGCAAAGTCACGTTACGAAGACTTTCTCGCGATATTTCGAGGCTAATGCAACATGTATATTTATTCTTTGTCAACAGCCAAGTATGTAAATCTTTTTGATACTCAAACATATATTTTTACGTTTTTCCCGTCCAATTGAAAAACCCTGACCGAATATATCAAGGCTTATGATTGCATTAAACCGAATCCTCATGAAGATAGTATAAATGCATCACACACATGCAGCTGCATAGAAAGAACACAAGAATAAAAAATTCTATTTACGTCATTCTTTAGTTTCGGCATTTATATGGTCAGTCAAACTCCTATAGTCACCTCTTGGAAAGTCGAATTGGGCGACTATAGAGAGGTGTGACTATAATGAAATATTGATCGTACCAATAACAATAAACTAATAGTAATTAAAACCAATCATTTAAGGGTTGTTTTATAAACCTATATGTGATGAGTCAGTGTCAATGAGAAAAGAGGAGGCTGGGATACTGTTTGATAATTTTTAGATTATTAATTATATTAATTACATTAATTACATCAATATAGTCATATCATTCATTATGAAATATAGCATTGTCATTATATTATTACTATCAATGTTAGTTGCGATTAAATTTATCACCATTTTTGTATTCATAATCAAAAAACCCTTGCATTAATAGAATATAACCTCATCTTGGTAATGATTGGCGTTTGTTCAGAATCAAAATGATATTAAAAATGATAACGAAATATTGAGTTTTCTATTAGGGGCTGAATTTATATGCTTTCTCATCCAATGACGCGCTTATTGCTCACTCCCGCGCGCTTTCATGCATAAACTTAATGCGTGACGATGAAGCATAATTTTCCATTTATGAAATTTTGTATTAATAATAATATGTATCAATTTCAAAATAGTATTAGTAAAAAATCATATTGTTCTTGATTTAGCATACGAATTAACGCGCGTGGATTTGGAACATCGTGTATCTGTATATGATGATGTATGTGTCAATATGTTCTATCGTGGTTTGTTTGCTATTTTTGCTTTGACGTTGCTTTTTTTAATTTAATGTTATTCATTTGAAGCTTCTTTGGGAAAAAAAAGATTCCAAAAACAAATCAATGCAACCTTTTTTTAGCTTTTTTTCCTTTATAATCGACAATCTCTCGTCTGTGTTTCGAGCATATACCATAAATCCACATTAATTAAAGCATGAAAAAGCTGGTGTACATGTACGTTTTATGTACTGCATGCCAAACTGAAAGAAATTGACGCGTTTTTCGCGATTTCACATCGGCAGCAGAAGCAGGAACACAAAACTGGATGTTATTGTATAGATATAAATAAATCTAAATAATATAAAGTTGCAGAATAAAGATTCGGCTGATTCTCATAAAAATATGCGGGAAAACCGACCAATCTCCAATTCTTTTTTTGGGAATCATCTTCTTTTAATCTATATAGAGAGTAGAGAGATATATAGAGATATATACAGAGATGTATAGAGAATATGCTTTTTTTAGTTACGTGATCATTGCCAAAACGGAAAAAAGGCAATTGGTAACTAAATCGGAAGTAAATTTCCCATATAGATGAAATCGGTGAGATTAAGATACTGTATCGATTTTTTCCCAAATCAGTGGCGAATTTCCAAAATTATATTTCTAATTAAAATAAGATAAGATAATAAAATAAATAATTTCTCAAGCTGGCGTCATTAATAAAAGTTTCTCATGCTCAACCGATTTTCCGACATAAAAAATCGCAAACTCAAATCAGTGGTCGTAGATATGCAAAAAACGACATTGGGATTCGCCATGCAATGTAATATACTGCAACCTAAAAATTTTGATTAAAAAAAAACGATTCAAACATCCATATAAATTAAAAAGGCATAATAAATCTGCATTATCTCGATATTATAAATAATCATAAATTTTCGTAGGCGTTAAAGGTTTTACGAATTCAGGATAAAGCGGCGTAATAAAAGATGGCTCATCATGTGGGGGGTATTTGACAAGTTTATCCCTGTAACGCCATTATAAAACACAGTAATTGGCTTTGCATGTATCTGGGCGTATTATTAGCGTGATACGAATGAAAAATGTTGAATAACCTATTGGTTCCTAAATACAGGTGGCTTTGTTTATGATCTGATTAGTTTAAGGTTTGATTTGATTAGATTAATTGAGGCATATTAATTGGACAAAGAGATGAGATTGAGAAAGTTACCACAGAAAATAATTATTTGCGGTTTTACTATTATATTATATATTCCTAAATTATATTACACGAAACATTAAATTCGAAAAACAAAAACCATGAATTTGGCTAGCTACTGTCGCTATATCCAAATATTATAGACGCAATGCAACATTTACATGCAATTTCTCAGCAAAGAATCGACCAAGCTAGGTATTTTCCAATTGTGGAATTGAAGAGAAAAAAAAGAAAAAAGTTTTCTGGAATTCTAAAGGCTATTATGTACTAATTAAAAGTCAATAATGCATGTCAAACTTCAATAGTCAATAAAATGACTCTTGCTATAATTAAATCAACGATTAATCTTTCGCCAAAGTCATTTTTAATCCAAATATTAGCGTTAGTACTAGTATTCTTCCAAACCTTTTATAAAGAGGTTTATGAGTTATTTATAATACTTGCTCAAATTATTAGAAGAAAAAGACTATTTTAGTATTCTTTCCAATAGGGTACAGTCATACCTCTATATAATCACCCTGCATAGTCACACCATCTCTACAATCACACACGCTTTATAGTGGACCTTCTTTATAGTGGATTAATATATAATAAATTCTGTTCGATATAGTAGATTTACTAATAAACTCTTGATTTTTAAAATTTTTATTAATAGATTTTTTTGATACACTATAAAGAGTCACGCTATTATGAAGCAGTCACAACCTCTTTAACGTCACATTTTTTTCTGGTCCAGAGGGCGTGAGGGCGTGATTAGGTGACTGTAATTAACATCGAGCGGGGTAAAGACAGAGTCCTTGCCACTGCCTTCAGATGCGAGTAATTGGAATTTTAATGGGAATCGCTAATTTGGAACTGATAAACAATAATAATTCAATACTCTAAGTAACCCCTTTGTGTGTTTTGAATAACGTGATAACTAAAACTTTGAAAAAGATTTTTTCAAAGTATAACCGGAATATTATCAGAATTTTAACATGAAATACATTTGCCTGTTTATAACCTGTTTTTATGTTCATGCCCCAGACCAAAGATTGCAGGTATGCGGATCTTTTTATCACGTGTTTACAACCTATTGCAATCATGTGATAAATAAGCGTCACCGGGTTGCAGGTCCTCAATCTTATAAATGCACTATAATACAAAAAGAATAAATGATTCTGTTTCTTTTTTGCATTAAGTTCGAAACGTAAAGTCTATACTAAGCTTAACGTTAAATGCACATATGCGTGTGTATTTATTAATATGGAAACGATTTCCTTCGGAAATGTTGTATTTGCGATGAATATGTATTTCTTTACTTGATCGATGAGTTTCAAAAAGTGAAAAGTAGCATGTGTGTTCATCATCAATTTACTAATGATAATAGCAATTTCTTTTCCTATTATAATATCAACAGATCAAATGACATCTTAAACAACCAATTGCATGTGTCAGTACTTATATTTTGTTTGGTCTAGGATACTATATCTATAATGTGCAATGCGAATCTAGACTAGATTAGATTATGCAAATGTAAGCTATTAGGGTGAGTATTGCAACAAAATATGTGTGCAATTGTTCTTTTATCTGTCTTTTAATAAATCTTTCTAGAAATTACTATCACTCAAATTGGTGCTTTCATTTATTTCATAAACAACCTATCAAATCCTCTATCAAAGATTAAAAATCTCGTAATCAGTCTTTTTCTTTATTTAAATTAACCAATCAGAGGCAAAATGTAATACAATAAAACCTCTCCAAGTGCACCCTCAGGACCATGGTAAAAAAAACAGGCAGAGTGTGCACTTAGAGCGGGTGCGCATCTATAGAGAGTAAAATATATATGTGTCTTATAACTTGGAACCAAGCCATACCACATTTAGAGAGAATTTATATAGTGCGTGCATTTATAGAGGATGCACCTAGAGAGGTTTTACTGTATCGATCAAATTTTTTGCCCAATAAAAAATCTTGAAAATCTTGCCAAAAAAATATTTTTTTAGATGACCATCTTCATAATCAAAAATTGACTCGTTAAAAAATCAAAATGAATACTCAGTTAAAGTAATTTGTCGTATATACCTAAAGAGCTATAAAGCAAGTTCACGTAAACTTTTAATATACAGTCGTGCTCTGTTTATATCCCCACGTCTTAAGAGGGATATAAACGGGGTGCAAGTCTAAATCACAAATTTTAATCCGTTAATATGATAGATCAGAGCCTCATCTATCATATTAACGGATCAAATT